TCCCCGGGGTGCTGAGATGGCGAAGGTCTGGGCATACGGATGGGGACACGAGGACGAGGTGCAGGAGGTGGTGGTCGAGGCGGGGCAGTTCGTCGACGCGGAGGCCGAGGAGGCGGAAGCGGAGGCGAAGGGGTCAGGGCCCAAGTCTCCGCCGAAGACGCGGACGATGGGAGGATGAGGAGGCGGAGGAGGTGGAGGAGGCCCACGGAACCACGGCCCCCGAGAGATCGGCCCGGGGTGCTGAGATGGGCACGGGGACAGGGGGCGGTGAAACGATGCTGACCAAGGCAGGACATGGTGAGCGTTTTCTCTTTCGGCGCCTCGACGCTGAGCGAAGAGGGGGGAGGCGGGGGAGGTCACTGGCTCTGGACCTCTGCTTGGAGCGACTGTGTGCACCAGTGTGTCCCTTGTGGGGGAGAGCCTGCGCCTGCTCGAAGCCGGCGCCCCCCAAAACAGCCAAGATCTAATCCATGTAGGCGGGGGTGCGAGGGCCCGCGCCGATCGGCAAAACTGAAGGGGCCCCGGGATACACAAATAAACAGGCACAGTTAACAAGATTCCCCATCTTTTCCCATATCTTCTGGGTTTTTGTCTTCCCCCCCAGTTCCCAGATTTTCTGGGGAATCGACGTGAATAAAAAACTACCAAATGGCCCAGCACCTCCCGCCGTGTTTCCTTCACAGCAGGCCACCAGGTTCCTGGAAAAGGCGCGCCTTTGCAAGCACGTCGACTACGGCACCGCCTGATCCCGAGGCTTTGCCTCCTCCCGGCCTCGTTCTGAGGCTGCGCCCCCCCCCCTTCGTCCTCCCCCTTCCCTCACTCAAGCTTCGCGCGGACCGCTTAGCTTCGACCGGAAGAGGTGCGCTCTCGACCCGCGAATCAACAAAGTGTTTCCTTCACGGGCGGCCTGCCCCCGCCCGACGGCGACGCCGCAGCCCTCCGCGGGGCGGTCCTCGGCCGCGCCCCACTTCCGCTCCACGGCCCGCGCGAGGGCCTGGCCGCGGCGGCGGCAGGGGGGGTGCCTCCCCCCCCCGGGGCCGCCTCCAACAGGTGGCCAGCAGGAAGCACTAGAGGCCGACAACTAGGCGACTGCCGACAGGACGCCGCCTGTGCATGATCAGGAGAAAAAGGAACAAAATGCATGGACCTGAACGCCCGAGTGTCCGCGCGGATTCCGTGGATCGGCGCCTGAGGCGCCGCCAGGGAGACCCAGCGCCGATCCAAGAAGTCCGCGTGGAGCAGTTCTTACTCGGCGCCTGGCGGATCGATCTTCGGGGACCTCTGGAGGCTGTGTATGTGGCTGTATTCGCCCCTCCCCCACCCAGGGCCCGAGAACATCCAGATCCATCGCCTCTCGCTGCCTCCTCCGCCTCTCCCTCTTCCCTCGCTCTCCCTACCCCCGCTTCCTACCCACCCAACCGCTGCCCCCCTTGTCCTCCTGCTCCCGGTTCTCCTCCCTCCTCCTCCTCCTCCTCCTCCTCCTCCTCCTCCTCCCTCCTCCTCCTCCCTCCTCACTCCTCCTGCTCCTTCCTCCTCCTCCTCTCCTCCTCCTCCTCCTGCTCCTCCTCCTCCTCCTCCCTTCCTCCCCTCCTGCTCCTCCTGCTCCTCCTGCTCCTCCTCCTCCTCCTCCTCCTCCTGCTCCTCCTGCTCCGCTCCTCCTCCTCCCTCCTGCTCCTCCTCCTCCTCCTCTCTCCTCCTCCCTCCTCCTCCCTCCTCCCCTCCTCCTCCTCCTCCTCCTCCTCCTCCTCCTCCTCCTCCACCTCCCCCTCCTCCTCCTCCCCCTCATCCTCCTCCCCCTCCTCCACCTCCTCCTCCTCCTCCTCCTCCTCCTCTTCCTCCTCCTCCTCCTCCTCCTCCCCCCCCTCCTCCTCGAGCGAGAGCTTGAGGTTCTGGGCCCCTGGCGGCACTCGCCCTTGGCCGCCCGCGCCTGGGATCGCCGCCTCGCCAGCGCGGCGCACGCCTGCCATTGCTCCCCGAGCTCCCGCTCGTGCCAAGGATTCTGGGCACGTCTCGGGCGGCTCGCTTTAGGCTGGGCATGTCCCCCAACAGGGGGATCTCGTACCAAAGATTGAAAATACCATCGAAATGCTCCAAAATACCCAAACATGCTCAAAACATCGTCCCCTGACTATTTTTCTATTCGTTTTGGATATACCCCCTGTAGAGGGACAGGCCCGACTTCTGTCTCTTTGGCGCCCCACGGCTCCTGTCTCTTTGGAGCCCCGAAGCGGTGCCGCGGTGACGAACCGTGCGGTGACCTCGCACTCCCCCAAGACCTCACCGCACGGTCCGTCGACGACGCACGGTCTTGGGGCCTCGGATGCCCCAGTCGCCCCGAGGCATCCTCGGGGAACGACACGAGTCCCAAAACCGTGCGGTGACCCCGAATCCCCACCGACTCACCGCACGGTGTGGTCACCACCCCGTTCGGGGGCCCCCGAGGCGAGGGGGGGGGGGAGCGAGAGGGGGCACGCCTCCTCAGAAGGCGTCCGGGCTTCTCGGAGCTCTCCTCGCGCCTTCTGGTAGATCTTCGAAGCCCTCTCCGAACCCACAGAGCACTTCGCAGACACCCTCGCGCCTCCTGAGAAGCCCCGCCGATGTCTGAGAATGCCCGCGCCCTCTCAGTACCCCTACCGGGCTCGCCACCGATTGCTAGCCGCAGGATCACCGCGGTATGGCAGGCATGGAGCATGTGGGCCCCCCAAGGCGCAACCGCCCGGGGCATTCCCCTGTTCGCGCCCAGACTGTGAGGGTGTCCCAAGCGGTTCTATCGTTCAGTAGTACCCGACTCTGAGCAGGGGCCGACCGTCCCGGCATTCCTATAGGCCTACCACGGAAGCGTCTTAGAACCCAAACATGTTCTAATCACAACAGCAATGCTCTTAGAACATACACCCGATGCGTTAAAACAAGACACTCGCAGCCAGACATGTTCTAAAAGCATCTCGCGCAGACCACACAAGCTTCTCGGAACATTCTCTGGTGGGCCTATAGGCGAGCCAGGACGCTTCGCCTCGGCTTGACGACTCTACTCCGTTCAGAGCCCAATGATCACCTCGACCTGGCAGACATGGACTTCGGGCACCTCGAGGAACTGCCGCCAAGGAGTCTTGCGCCCGCCCGCTCGCGGCCACACAGTGCGCGCGGATGTTTCGCGCCAGCTCCGCCCTGCCCAGGCCCCCGTGGCCACCGCGATGCAGCAGGCCTTGCACTTTGGAGCCGCCAGGGGCGTCACGCTTAAAGCCGCTCGCGGCCAGATCGCGGGGACGCCTCGCGCGAACCGCTGGCTTGGGCACCCACAGCTCCTCTCCTCGCAGCGCCCCAAGCCCCCACCCCCGATGGTTGCCAGCATCGCACTTGGGCGCTCCACGGGGGAGCCGCCGGGGAGCGCTCTGGCGCCGCATGCGAAGACGCCCTCCCTCAAACCCTCCCCGCAAGACCAGGACGTGAAATGCACACCCGGGGACATCTGCGCCGAAGCACTGCCTGTTCTCCGCGCGCAGCCGCCGCCGCCCCCCCCCGTCCCTGCAGGGGGGACGAGGCACGAGCACTGACCCCCCCCTGCGCTGCGCGCGGCCCTCGCGCGCGCGCTACAGACTACGTGCATGTCAAGGGGGACGTCCTCTGACCGCCTCGCCGAGTCCTCGCTGGGGCCGAACCTGGGCCAATGATCGGCCTTCCCGCCTCCCTGGCCATGCCAGGCGGGCGTGCGTGCCGACCCGGGGCCCAAGAGGGGCCTGGCCAGGATCGGTGAGGTTGGTAAGGCTTCGGTTGAGGGATGAAAAAACGACCCTACCCTGGGTTACAAGTCCGTGGTCTGTAAACCTCCTGGGAACCCCCAAAGCCTAGAGCCGCCAGGACGCGGCACATCACGCAGGGTTTACCCTGTCAGCCCACACGAGTTTCAGCGCACAGCGCCTCGTAAACCAGGGTAGGGGCGTTTTTTTATGCCCTTGATTCGGGTTGCTGAGCATCGTTTAGCCGATCCCCATCCCCACCAGCGTGGGCTGGGCCCCACTGTGGCCGACTCGCCCCCCTGATAGGGGGTGTAGGCTGCCCTCTTCGGGCTTCGAGGGGCACATCCCCAACCGAGGTGGTGAGACGGTGGGGCTCGAGATGTGGATGGGGAAAACCAGAAGGCACCGCTGCCGCTACCTCTCCCGGGGTGCGTTCGGACCAAGGTTTCGAGGCGCATCCAGCGGTGGCGACAAGGGCCTCCCAGGGGGCGCAAAAAGGGGACCACGGGCGAGGGGGTAGAGGTGGGATGGGTTCCTTTTCCTCCTCTGATCAATGGGGATGGGGATAGGGGATCGGTGGAACGATGCTGAGCTGCGGACGAAACTGACAGCCCCCCACCTCTCCATCGCTCGGACGTCCATTCCCAGTGCTTTTCTCAGTTTCGTGCGTTGTTTTTTTTTCTCGCCAGAGCATCAAGGATGCTCCTCGATGGTCCTCGCCGAAGGTAAAGTGCACACGTCCGAGCGATGCCGAGCCACAGGCAGTCCGGACGGGCCTCCACAGGCCCCCCGAGATAGGGCCCCCTGGGCGGCCCCTCTCGCAACACCTCCAGCCTGGCTGGGCGCGCGCAGGGCGCCACCTGCGCCGCAGGAGGCGGCGCTCGGGGTTTGGAGAAAGCCCCTGGACGACTCGGGGGCGGCCAAAAAGGGGAGCGTCCAAGAGGGGCTTGCCATCGCTCGGACGTCCATTCCCTGTGCGTTTTTCGGTTTCGTGCGTGTGTTTTGTTTCGTAAGGCGGCCCACAGTGCTCTTCGATGGTCCTCGCCCCCAAAAAATGCACAAGTCCGAGCGATGCCAAGGGGGGGTGCTGACAATGGCCAGCGGCAGGTGCGCGGCCCAGAGGGGGGGGGGGCAGGGACGCAAGGAAGCAAGAAGAGGCGCCCTGAAGCCTGGGGAATTGTCATGGCCCGCGCCACGATCTCCCCCCTAGTCATCCCCCCCCTCCTTGCCGCCCCCGGGACTACTCGGAGGGGAAGGGGAGGGAGGCCTACTGAGGCCAGCCGGGGCTACCCGAGGAGCGGGCTGCCCGTGCGCAACTGATCAGCAGCCTTCCCGTCGGTGAGGTGGTCTGGTGACGTCCCCCAGCATGTGCCCTGCATGCCAGGCCCTGGGTCGCGGCGTGCGCGGCGTGGCTGCGAAAGGCGGCGGCCACGACCTGCACAGCCTGCGCGCGCAGGCGCTGCTGCAGCGCGGCCATGTCCTGCTGCAGGCAGCACCGCAGCTCCTCCGTGCGCTGCTCGAAGGCCGACGACCCTCAGAACGTGTTAGCGCCGGCGTGCGCTTGTCCGCCCGAGCCCTTCAATACGATGTGGACGGTGCCATATGACGGACGAATCATGCGCCGTGCCATCGATGAAGCTAAGCGGGGCACACACGCACACACACACACACATACATACACATACGCACACAACACACACACACACACGCACGCACGCACGCACGCACGCACGCACGCACGCACGCGCGCGCGCGCACACACACACACACACACTGACACGTACATACACACATTCACACGCGCGCACGCACGCACGCCAGCATACGCACATACACACATACACTCTCTCTCACACACACGCGCGCGCACGCACGCACGCACGCACGCACGTACACACAAACACACACCCACACACACACACACACATACACACACCTTTGGCGTCGCGGCCCCGCGCGCGGCGACGGGGCGAAGAAGGTTAGAAAACAGCGATCGGACCAACACTCGTCCCGAGGATCCTCGAGAAGAGCTCGGTCAGCCGCCACTCCGCGGCCGCCCCCCTGGCCGCCACCTCCTCCACCTGCGCCCGCAGGTCCCTCGCCTGCTCCTCGGCGGCCCTGCTGCTGGCGTCCGCCTGCAGCTGCCACTCCCGGCGGCCCTCGAGCGCCCTGCGCTCCGCGGCCGCCAGCCGTGCCTCCAGGGCCTCCCGGGCCTGCTCGGCCTGCGCAGCGCTCGACCGATCCCGATCCTCACAGGCGCGGCCTTGGCCCAACTAGTCTTAAGTCGGGCCTGCCCCCCTACAGGGGGTTTTCCGACGAACAGAAAAAAAACCCAAAGTAATCAAAAAAATATCCCAGTGCGACCCTACCTAGGAATTGGAACCCCTAGGAAAGCAGCATTAGTAGTAACAGTAACGCTAAGCTAAAGCTAAGCTAAAGCTAAGCTAAAGCTAAGCTAAAGCTAAGCTAAAGCTAAGCTAAAGCTAAGCTAAAGCTAAGCTAAAACTAAGCCACAGCTAAGCTAAAGCTAAGCTAAAGCTAGGCTAAAGCTAAGCTAAAGCTGAGCAACAGCTAAGCTAAAGCTAAGCTAAAGCTAAGCTAAAGCTAAGCTAAAGCTAAGCTGAAGCTAAGCCACAGCTAAGCTAAAGCTAAAGCTAAGCTAAACGCTAAGCGAAAAGCTAAGCGAAACGCTAAGCTAAAGCTAAGCTACAGCTAAGCTAAAGCTAAGCTAAAGCTAAGCTAACGCTAAAGCTAAAGCTAAAGCTAAAGCTCCCAGGGCACTGGGGGGAACCGCTCCCAGGGGACTGGGGGAACCGCCCGGGGCGCTTTACACTGCCCGGCCCCTTTAAGCTAAGAGAGTAAGAACCCTTCTAGGCAGAGCCTAGGTAGGGAAATAGCCCAAAAATAGTCAAGGGCCTATTTTTGGAGTATTTGTTGACCTTTTCAGGGGTATTTTGGGGGCATTTTTTATTTATTTTTCGTCGACAATCCCCCTCTACGTGGACAGGCCCGACTTGACACTGGCCGACTTACCCACCCAGGCAGGGATGCATGATCCAGGGATCGAGCTCACACACCCCCCCCTCCTGCTGATGCCTTCGGCCCCAACCCTCCATCGCGCGATGGGTCCCCCCACCCATGTGGGCGTGGTGTGGTGGACCCCTCACTTCCCGCCCTGTGGGCGTGGGGTGGTCGGGGGGTGCCGGTGCCCCCCGCCCACAGTGGGTGTGGGGTGGTGCTGCTGTGCCGTGGTCGTCATCGTCGTCGTCGTCGCCGTCGTCGTCGTCGTCGTCGTCGTCGTCGTCGTCGTCGTCGTGGTCGTCGTCGTCGTGGTCGTCTTCGTGATCGTGGTCGTGATCGTGGTCGTGGTCGTGATCGTGGTCGTGGTCGTGGCCGTGATCGTCGTCGTGGTCGTCGTCGTCGTCGTGGTCGTCGTCGCCGTCGTCGTCGTCTTCGTCTTCGTCTTCGTCTTCGTCGTCGTCGTCGTCGTCGTTGTCGTCCCCCCAATCCCATCTGGGAGGGGGGCCTGTGAGGCCCTGGGACCCGTCAGGGCCTAGGAGGGGGGACCTGGAATCATGCACGCCTGCTCCTGCGAGTTCCGCGGGGCCCATCCCCCCCCCGCCGCACCTGGGAAAGTGGGCTGCTGGGGCTGAAATGCCGTGGCCCAAGTGGGGATGGTCGGGCATGTCCCTGTACAGGTCGGGCATGTCCCCGTACAGGCGGATTTTGGACGAAAGATGTAAAAATAAAACGAATGCCCCCAAATGGTCAAAAATACTGGAAATTTCCCCCCCGGCTATTTCTTGACTAGTTTTGAATATTCCTCCTGTAGAGTGACAGGCCCGCCTTCAGGGTACGTTAGAAAAACAGCCGACGGCCTGTGCCCGGCAGCGGGCCTCGAGCTCCCTGCGCTGGACGCCCGAGATGGGTACGGAAAACATGTGGCACGATGCCCCGCAACAAATGTTGCCCCAAACCAGCAGGTTGGGCGCCCGAATTATCCGGGGTAACTCGGGCCCGGGGTAACTCGGGTTCGGATTCCCGAACAACGAACCCGAGTTAGCCCTGACCCGAACTACCCCTGATGATTCGGGGCTCTGGACGCCCGAATTATCCGGGGTAACCCGGGCCCGGGGCTATACTCGGGCTCGGATTCCCGAACAACGAACCCGAGTTAGCCCTGACCCGAGCTACCCCTTATGATTCGGGGCTCTGGACGCCCGAATTATCCGGGGTAATTCGGGCCCGGGGCTACTCGGGCTCGGATTCCCGAAAAACGAACCCGAGTTAGCCCTGACCCGAGCTACCCCTGATGATTCGGGGCTCTGAAACAGTGGCCGCTGTTGGTCAGGCGGCCTTCTTTCTGACCGGACCGTTTCAGACGGACACAGGCCGCGGCGGCGCGGACGGCGAGTCCTGAGCAAAATGAAGAGGAACCGTTGTTGGGCATCGTGCCTCGCCGGTGGCCGCACTCCCGAGCATGGGGAAACCAAAAGGTACCGATACCGCTACTCCACGGACCTCTCCTGGGGCGCGTTCTGACCAGGATTTCGAGGCGAATCCAGCGGTGGCCACGAGGTGCTCCGAGGAGGCCCAAAAATGGGAACACGGCCGAAGGGTAGAGGTATATGTACCTTTTCCGCCTCTGAGAGTACCCATCCTTTAACCAGCCTCGAACTTATCCCTATCCCTAAGATTGACACGCCCAAAGGCGATGACAGTCTTAGGGATGCACCCCCAGAAACTGAGAGAATCCCTAAGGTCGCCATCGTGACGAGGCGATGCCCAACATAGGGATAGGCATAGGTTCCAGGCTGGTAATCCTTTCCGTACCCGTTTCGATCGTCCCGACCTGCGCGCGGCGGCGAGCTCCCCGCGCAGCTCCTCAAGCTGCGCCCGGCCCGCCCGGGCGTCGCAAAGGGGCCGCAGCTCGCCCAGGAGCCGCTCCTCCCAGGGCTGAGCCCAAACGGTGCTTTTCGTTTCGTTTCGTTTCGTGTTGTTTTCGTGTTGTTGTCGTTTTTCGGGATGTGTTTCGTTCCGTTGTTGTTTCGTTGCTCGCTTCGTTGTTCGTTTCGCTTTCCTCCAGGAAGCGTTGTCCTTCGTTTCGTTGTCGTTATGTGTTTCGTTTTGCTCTACCCTCCGGGGGCGAGCAAACACGGGTTGGCGGTCCAAGGACCATGGATTTGGCGCGCGCGGTCGCGAAAACCATGGATCGGGGGAGGCGCCGTCCCCAGGATGCGGCCGCTGCCGCCTCGTTCGGCGACGGAAGAGCCGCGATTCCCATGGAAACGGGGACCGTCGCTGATACACGCCCCCTTGATCCATGTTTGCGATCGCCTGATAAACGTTGTTCTTCGTTTGGTGTTGTTTTTGTCGGGGACGGTTGCTGATACACGCTCCCTTGATCCATGTTTGCGATCGCCTGATAAATTTTCTTTTTCGTTTGGTTTGGTTTGTTTTCTCGGGGGGAGCTAAAAGGGGGGGTAGCAAAGGGTAGGGTAGAGAATCAACTCACGTAGCTGATGTCCCCAGCGCCTCCCGGCGCCGGGAGGCGCCCATGTATCAAGGAATGGGCCCAGCGGCGGGGCCGAAACCAGCTGCATGCAGCAGATTTCGTAATTAACCCCCTTTCCCCTATCCCCCCCCTTTCGTTCTGCCCGATGTTCGTTTTGCTCTACCTGTTTTCCTGTACCTCCCTCCCAACACGGAAAACAAGACACAGCCGAAGTCCAGCAGAACAGCGTTGGGATCCAACCCCTTCTCTCCTCCAGGCTCCGCCCGGCCTGGGCCGCCTCCAGCCGGAGGCTCTCCAGCTGTGGGGGGAAACAAAACGGTGACCGTGACCAGAACTGAGCGCGGAGCCCTCGGTGCAACCCTGGTCACCGTCCATGCTGTGATGGGCCTGTTTTCCACCACCGCCGCCACAAGTTGGAGGGGGAGGGGGTCCTCCTCCTCCTCCTCCTCCTCCTCCTCCTCCTCCGCCTACTCCTCCTCCTCCTCCTCCTCCTCCTCCTCCTCCTCCTCCTCCTCCTCCTTCGCCTCCTCCTCCTCCTCCTCCTCCTCCTCCTCCTCGTCCTCCACCTCCTTAATCCCTTCACCCTGTGGTGGTGATGGAAAAAAGGCCCATCATGCTGGTCACCGTCGACTCCTGGATCATCCTCGCGACTCGGCGACGGCCAGCATGGACCACGTCGGCGGCGAGCGAGGGGAGGGAAGTGGTGAGAAGGGGCGGGCCTTCGCAGAACGCTCGGGCGCCCCCTGGACTTCTGGCAAGTTCTCTCAGCCTTGCGCCCGAAGGCGCAGGAAAATTCTCAGAAGGCGCGAGAGCTTCTGAGGACTTCTGACAGGGCCTCCTCATTCTCACTTCCCCTCCGCGCTCGTCGCCGACCACGACCAAGATCGGCGTCGATAGGTCCCGCGACGTCTTAGTCATGGTAAGCATTAGGTCGGGCATGTCCCCCTACAGGCAGATTTTGGAGGAGAAACAAAAAATAGTCGAAACATACTCCAAAAATGGCCGACAATACTCGAAAAATCATTCCCAGACTATTTTTGGCTTATTTTTGAATGTTCCTCCTGTAGAGGGACACGCCCGACGTAAGTCTTGGTCATGGCCAGCGCGTTCCTTCCCCCGAGGCTGGCCGTCCACGGCGCCCAGCCCCTCCCCCAGGCCGTCCGCGGCCGCGCGCAGCTCCCGCACCTTATGGGCGACAACCGGAAGGCACACCGATGCCGCTGCTCCCCGGGCCCCAGACGTGGGTTTAAGTCGGGCCTGTCCTCTTACAGGGGATTGTGGGCGGAAAATGAAAAATACTACAAAATACCCCCACATGGTAAAACAAAACTCGTCCCCAGACTATGTTTGTACCATTTTTGAATATTCCTCCTGTAGAGGGACAAGCCCGACTTACACTTGGGTCGGGCCTGTCCCTCTACAGGAGGAACATTCAAAACTAGTCAAAAAATAGTCTGGAGACGACTTTTTGACGACTTGTTTGACCATTTGGGACATTTCTTGCGGTATGTTATATGTGTCGTCCACAATCCACCTGTAGGGGGACAGGCCCGACCTCACCCCAGACCTCTCCCGGGGCGCGTTCTGATCAGGATTGGGAGCCGAAGCCAGCGGTGGCGACGAGGGCCCCCCGGCCTGGGGGAGGCCCCAAAAAGGCGGCACCCGAGGCCCGGCTGGCGACATCGGTGCCCTCTGCCTCCTCCGATGTGACAGGACCAGAGTAGAAGAATAACACTCACCATAAACATGAACTTTTGGCGCTCCGCGCGGATTTCGTTTCTTGGATCTGCGCCAGACACGCCTCCCTGGCGCGCGGAGCGCGCCAGGGACGTGCCGAAGGCGCAGCCGGGGAAGCCCAGCTCGGATCCAAGAAATCCGCGCAGCGCGCCGAAAGTCTACGTTGATGGCGTGTGTTCTTCTTCGACGGAGATGACCTCGATTTCCCTCCTTCCCACCTCGGCGCCCAGGCGCTCCACGTCGGAGCGCAGCACCGCCTCGGGTTACGTCGGGCATGTCCCCCTAAAGGGCGGATGTTGGACGAAAAATCAAACATAGTCCAACACATACTTCACGAAATGTTCAAACATAGTCAAAACATCGTCTCCTAAATCCTCCTCCGCCTCCTCGGCCTCCTCCGCCTCCTCCTCCTCCTCCTCCTCCTCCTCCTCCTGCTCCTCCTCCTCCTCTTCTCCTCTTCTCCTCTTCTCCTCTTCTCCTCTTCTCCTCTTCTCCTCTTCTCCTCTCCTCCTCCTCCTCCTCCTCCGCCTCCTCCTCCTCTTCTCCTCTTCTCCTCTTCTCCTCTTCTCCTCTTCTCCTCTCCTCCTCTTCTCCTCTCCTCCTCCTCCTCCTCCTCCTCCGCCTCCGCCTCCTCCTCCTCCTCCTCTACTCCTCGTCTCCTCTCCTCTTCTCCTCTTCTCCTCTTCTCCTCTTCTCCTCTTCTCCTCTTCTCTCTCCTCCTCCTCCTCCTCCTCCTCCTCCTCCTCCTCCTCCTCCTCCTCCTCCTCCTCCTCCTCCTCCTCCTCCTCCTCCTCCTCTTCCTCTACTATGTTCGGATATTCCCCCCTGTAGAGGGGCGTGCCCGACTTGCGCCTCCAGGGCGCCCTGCTGCACCCGCAGCGCCTGCGATGCCCGCGCGGCCTCGCCGCGGGCGGCCTCCAGGCTCTCGCGCACGCGCGCGTCCAGGGCCTGCAGCCTCGGGGGGGCGAGGGCCGGTGGGCCTGTTCTCCACCACCACCACCACCAGAAGTAGGAGGGGGAGGGGGTCCTCCTCCTCCTCCTCCTCCTCCTCCTCCTCCTCCTCCACCTGCTGGGCTTGTTCTCCACCACCACCACCAGAAGTAGGAGGGGGAGGGGGTCCTCCTCCTCCTCCTCCTCCTCCTCCTCCTCCTCCTCCTCCTGCTCCTCCTCCTCCTCCTCCTCCTCTTCCTTCTCCTCATCCTCCACCGCCTCCCACACTCCAACTGATGGTGGTGGTGGTGGTGGAACACAGGCCCATCAAGGGCAGCACGGCGACGAGCGGCGGAGGTCGGCGGCGAGCCCAAGTTGGGGGGCCTCGCGGGGCCTCCAGGGACAAGGGACAGTCAAGGTCCAGCATCAGGTCGGGCATGTCCTCCTACAGGCGGATTTCGGACGACTAATACCAAAATGTGTCAGGAAATGCTCCCCAAATCTTCAAAGATACCAGACAAATCGTCCCCAGACTATGCTTTGACTGTTTTCCAGTAGTGTTCCTCTTTTAAGGGACGCGCCCGACTTGAGTCTGGCCTCCGACGGGGCGGCAGCTGGCCGAGCTGGCGGCAGAGGCCATGCCTCAGAGAGGGGGGGCAGCGCAGGAGGGTCCCGCATCCCCGCGCCCCTCAAGAAAAGGCGCCCGCGCGTGCGCACGCGCCGCCCCGACGACCAGCCTTGGCGGCGCGCAAAAGGGGGCAGGGGGAGGGGGGGAGGCTTCTTAGCAGCAGGCCGCTTCTCAGAAGGCCTCGGCCTTACGTCTATAGAGAAGGCCCGCGACTTCTGAGAGGCAGGGGTGCTTCTAAGAAGCCTTCCCCCCTCCCCCCTACCCCCAGTTGCGCGCTGCCGACCAACCAACCTCCAAAGCAGCTCTCCGCCGCTCGGCCCGGCCGGGGGGGGAGCGAGGACGGTGGCGCCAGGACCGGAGCTGAGCGCGGAGCCCTCGGCGCGACCCCGGCCACCGTCCATGCTGCGAAGGGGGCTGCTTTCCACCACCACCACCATGAGTTGGAGGGGGAGGGGGTCCTCCTCCTCCTCCTCCTCCTCCTCCTCCTCATCTTCCTCCTCCTCCTCCTCCTCCTCCTCCTCCTCCTCTTCCTCCTCCTCCTCCTCCTCGTCCTCGTCCGCCTCCTCCTCCGCCTCCTCCGCCTCATCCTCTTCCTCCTCCTCTTCCTCCGCCTCCTCCTCCTCCTCCTCCTCGACCTCCTCCTCCTCGTCCTCCACCTCCTTCACCCCTCCAATTTATGGTTGTGGTGGTGGTGGTGGTGGTGGTGGTGGTGGTGGAAAACAGGCCCATCATGCTGGTCACCGTCGACTCCTGGATCATCCTCGCGACTCGGCGACGGCCAGCATGGACCACGTCGGTGGGAAGCGAGAAGGGGCGGGTCTTATTAGTAGGGGATCTACTGACCCGGCCCGGGTCAATCCAGACCGGGGTCAGTCAGGCCTTGCAGGATCCTGCAGGATCCTGCAGGCTTCCTGCCCTCAGACCTGGGTCAGTGCACGCTTGGCTCTGCTAGATCCTGCAAGATCCAGCGCTCTGACCGACCTCCGTTTGCATAGACACCCGTCTCTGGATCCCTGGCTTAGGAGGCCCGAAGCCCCCTGGCCATCTCAGAAGCGGTCTGAGCCGTTTCCTGAAGACGCTGCAAACTCCTCAGCAAGCCAGAGGCCTTCCTTCTGAGGAGCCCAGCCGCCTGCCGGGAGGGTCTCCGCCTTCGCCCAAAAACCTCCCCCCCCCCTTCACCCAGAAAGCCTCCCCTCAGTCCCCCCCCCCCTTTCGCCCAAAAAGGCCCCCCTCCCTTCCCCCCCCATCGCTCGCCGCCGACAAGGAGCAGGTCACGCAGGGCGAACAGATCCGCGCCCGCGCGGTCTGGACTCCGGGGCGCGCAAGATGCCGCGGAGACTCGGCCGCACGGACAAGTACCCTTCCCCGCGCGGGGCACCCGCAGAGAAAAAAACGCCCCGCATCCGCGGACGGTGTTTTCCCCGGGCCTCGTCAAAACCCTCCTCAAGAAAGCGGTGCTTCGGGGTTTGGAGTGGGACCTGGGGGCTCGGTTCATTATGTCTTCGCGGGCGTGCGTGGACGGCATCTTGTATTCTCTTCGGTCTAAGAAATTCACCCCGTTCCAACAGGGATGCATTCGGGCCTTATTTTGCGATGCCATCTACACTCGTAGTCGCGCTGTCAGCTTAGGCTATGTGATTGGCGACCTGTGCGCCCTCTGTTTGGAGGCTCGGGACACGTTGAGGCACCGGCTGTGGGAGTGCACCGCGGTGGAAGCGGAACGCGCTGAGCTTGTCCAACCTGATGTCCGCAGGCTCGCTGCCGAAGCCGACGATGCTCTAGCATGTTACGGAGTGTTTCCTCATCCCGGGGACCAGTTTCCAGCTCCCGCATCTTCTGGAGGCATCGTTGTAGAGTGGGCCTCTGAACAGCAAGGCGACTTATCCGAGGCGGTGCAGGGCGACATCTTCGGGGATGGTTCATGTACGAGGCGGGTGGTGAAAGAGCCGAATCGGGCTGGCTGGGCCTTCACCGTCTGGGATCGTAGCACAGGTCTCGAAGTGGTGAGAGTCAGTGGACCAGTCTGGGGCCCTGTTCCCCAGACCCCCCAGGCTGCAGTGGTCTGGGAACAGTGGCCTGTGGGGCCAACGAACCTTTTCCTAGACTGTCAAAGCTGTGTAGATTTTCACAGTTTGCCTTTTCATGCACAGTGCTCGCCGAAACGCATTTTTGCTGGGGTCGCCCAGTTCTGCAGAGATTTTTCGCACCAGTGCTCTGTCTCAAAGGTGAGGACCCACCAGGTCGAGACCGACGGCGAAGATGCTTGGACGCGGTATTTGCGTGAAGGTAACAGCGCCGTCGATCGGTCCGCGAAGTTAGCGGTGGAGCTTCACCCTAAATTTGATAGTGAGGCCGTCGAGCGGCTGGACGAGCAATGTCGTGTCTCTTTGGCCGTGGCTGTGCTGGCGGCTAAATTGATGCCTTTGTGGCCTAAGCTTGACATGGGCCCAAATGTTGTTCGTAATCCTCCTCCTCCTCCCCCGCCTCCTTGCGGCGCCTCGAGACCCCCGCGTTCGGGACACTCCTGGTCTTGGACTGGTAGGTTCTGGCAGTGTTTGTCCTGCTTCCGAGGGCCTCGGTCTCAGGAGAGACCGACCGCTGGTATTTGCCGGGGGGGGGGGGGTCGGCGTTGGGATTCGAGGCTATGATGCTCCAACGTTGGCTGCTTTGGGGCATAAGATGCTGTTTCTTGACGCCAGCGACGGTAGTTTTGTGTTTATGTGTTTAAGCTGCAAGTTCTATACTTGTGGTGGCCAAGTTCGGGGTCTCCGACTTGAGTGCAAGCCCTTGCCAAGATCTGGGGCTCAAGGTCGGAAGCACGCCTGGAACCAGGTTGCTTCAGGACTGCACCCCAAGAAATCCGGAATCACTTTAACCGTTGGCCCTTGGGGCAATACGGAAGATGAGGATCCTGCTCCCCTCGCCGAGCCTCCTCCCCCCCCCTCGGAGGAGGATTCGGACGGCCCTCGCACGCTGCGCAGAGTCTCGATTGCATTGCGGCTCTTGGGTGCAGCTGCGGGGCCAAGTCAACCTAGAGCTCGAGGAGACCACTCCGAGTCCGGGTCTGATTAATTTGTTTGTTGTTTTTCCCCTGGCGGGTCTCGCCCCCCCGCTTGAGGTGTATGTGGGCAGCTTGGCGCCGTCGACGGCAAAAATCCACCGCCTCCCAACCTCCTCCTCCTCCTCCTCTTCTTCCTCCTCCTCCTCCCTCCTCCTCCTCCTCCTCCTCCTCCTCCTCCTCCTCCCTCCTCCTCCTCCTCCTCCCTCCTCCTCCTCCCTCCTCCTCCTCCTCCCCCCCTCGAGGCCTGCCCTCGAGCCCGGCCTCCGAGCGCCGCTGCTGCTCGAGCAGCCCCTCCGCCAGCAGCGCCGCCTGCCGCCCGAGCTCCTCGGCGAGCTCGCCGCGCCACGCCGCGAGCCGCAGCTCCTGTCGGGTCGGGCGAAAGGGGGGGGATCGCAAAAAGGGGGTTTGAGAATCAGCTCACGCAGCTGATTTTCCCGGCGCCTCCCGGCGCCGGGAGGCGCCCATGTACCGAGGAATGGGCCCGGCGGCGGGGCCCAAACCAGCCGCGCGCAGCAGATGTCGTACCCCCCCCCCTTTCCCACTCCCCCCCTCTCGTTCGGGCCGATCCTGCTCGCGCGCGGCCGCGGCCCGGTGCTCCGCCCAGGTGGCCCGCAGGGCCTGGACGCCCTCCATGGTGGGCCCGGCTGGGGGGCCCGCCCGCGGCGCGGCGGCGGAGGCGGGGAGGCCAGGAGGTGCCGAGACCGCTGCTCCATGGAGGGCTGCCTACCCAGACCACCCCAACCCAACCCGAAGGCCCGGGGATGCGGTGGGGGGGTCGAGTTCAGATGTGTTTTTGTCAGTGCTCCCCAACCCCCCCCCCCACCGGAAATGGAGGCCCAATCGGGGCCTTCGGGTGGGGTTGGGGTGGTTTGGTGGGCGGTGAATGGAGACCTCTCCCGAGGTGCGCGCTGACCAGGGCTTGGGGGCGACTCCAGCAGTGTCGGCGAGGCCCTCCCAGGAGGCCCCACAAAGGGTAGAAAAAAAGAGGCAGGGGCAGCGGTGCGGGTTCCTTTTCCTCCTCTGAGGAAGGGCGCCAGCGACCCTGAGGTCCGCATGCCGTTCTGCAAGTTCGCGTCGTGCTAACGTCGGCACTGGTTCTCGACACCGCGGGGACCGTTCCACCTTGAACGAACGGCCGTTTCCGAAACATCAGAAAGTTTTAACATCGACCGATTCTGGGTCGCCAGCGGCGCTCAACGTTGAACACCAGCGGCGGGGTCGTCGCCCGTCGACACGATGCTAACCTGCCGTACCCTGAGATACTGGTGCCATAAATCTTTCACATAAGGTAATGTTGTCGCTGCTTCGGGCCCTGAAGCCCTCCCGGATCGATCCGGCTCGAGAAGTGCCGCCGAAACATTGGGGTCCGGGGCTCTGGTCGAGTTTTCTCTTTTTCGATGTTGCAATTTGCTCGTGACGCTCCATGCCTCGAACGTCTTCAGAAACTCAGCGCAGAAGTTGTGGGGACCCCCGCCGCGCCCTGGGACAGCCAGACAGCTGCTCAGGATGAAGAGCTGAGCCCTCTAGGGAGCAGATCCAGACCTCGAAGGACCCCCCCTCCTCTCGCTGCGAAAACAATCATTAATTAGCGACGGCCAGCGTCTGGCATGTTCGACCCCAGGGGGAAGGGGGGCCTCAGCGGGCCCCGGTACCGCGTCGAGAGACTTTGGAGGCTTGGGAATGGGCACCAACATCAACGCAGGGGGGTGCCTCCAAAGGGGAAAGATGATCCAAGATTTCGGCGTTGGTTGTAATACCTCGGCCACCTTGGAAGCCAGAAGAGTACCACCATCACCGAGATCGAGATCGTCTTCCCACGATGGAGGCACACCGCCGAAATTGGTGTTGGTGTCAACCTCTAGGCCGAACCTCGAGACCGAACATATTTTCCCATATTTTCTGGGAATCGACGATTAATTGTGTCTGTGTTTTTTTTCCCCTCCTGAGAGACGTCGGCTGCCCGGGAATGCACCTCTGCACCGATCCTGGCCACGGGCCGACGTGCTGGGCCCAAGCGCGGGCCGACGTGCTGGGCCCAGGCGCGGGCCGATGTGCTGGGCCCAGGATCGGCGCACACGCGCGCGCACGCCCTCCCAGCTCGACCAGGGAAGGCCTGCAGCCGGACCGGCGCCAGGTGATTTGGATGACCCGAAAGGGGATCCAGCTCTCACAGGGGGTGGTGCAGCAGATCTGAGGCAAGTGTGCTGCAAACGTACTGCGCTGGAGAATTGCACTGCATGGTATTGCAGGTAATGCGTTGCACGTTAAGGTACGGTACGGCCATACGTGTGCGCCCTGGAATGTACTGCACGCCCCAATTGTAGTGCAACCTGACAAATCTGTTGCACCAAATCTATTGCACCCCCCCCTTAAAACAGGGCTGAGATCGGGATAAATCGCTCCAGAGCGTTCCGGAGCGCTCTCAGAGCGTTCCGGAACGCTCTGGAGCGACCGCGGCGCCCAATACATCCTCCAAACCCGCCGATTCTCAGAGATTTCGAGTTATCCCGATCCGATTTTGTCCCGATCTTCGCGTCGTTTTAGTACTGCACGCCCAAAATGTAGTGCGAACTCACAAATCTGTTGCACCAAATCCATGGCACCCCCCCCTGTCGCTGGACCCCCCGGTGGGTCAACCCGAGAAGAGTCAAGATCCGAAGGCCCTCCGCCGGCCAGAACAGGCAGAACCCCCCAGAGAGTACCCTCCCCAGGGTGCACGAGAACTTGGCGGCGCGCACAAGGGGGTGGGGGGGGGGGGGGGGGGCTTCTTAGAAGCAGGCTGCTTCTTAGAAAGCGCCGGCCTTTCATCTATAGATAAGGCCCGCGCCTTCTAAGAAGCAGGGGTGCTTCTAAGAAGCCCTCCCCCCTCCCCCCACCCCCCTCTGCGCGTGGCTGAAGAACAGTCAGCAAACACCAGGAACACTTTGGGTGTTGCCAGAAGTGCCCCTGGCCCCAGGTGCACCCAGCTTTTCGCTCCGTCTTGGAGCCCCCAGGGCCCCCTGGGCCTCGTGAGGGGTGCCCTGGAGGCCGTCTGGGCCACACCGAGAATGCTGCGCCTTGGGCCAAGGGCGCCTCTAGCAACACTCGAACACCAGGGTACCCTCCCCGCGCCGGCCTCGATCATTTACACTACCTCGGCCCGACGGTGTACGCGCAGCAGGGCGAGTGGAGGCAGCGTCAGCTCCACATCGGAGCCTGGACCCCATCTGGGGATCTGACTGCGCCCGCCCTTCGAGCGGCGTGCAGCCCTGGCGACGAGGGGGACATGCCCGACCTAACGTGAGACCTCAGAGTGTACTGAATATATTGCGCGACGCCCCGGCTGCACCAGACTGATTGAATCGCCCACACTGCACCGCACACATGTGTTGTAGCACGCAGACTGCGGCCGCGGGGAGCGCGCCGCTGAAGGCGAACACGGGGGGGGGCGTCAACATGAAAAGCAGCCCGCGTCGGTGAAGGTTCACCCGCTGCGGCCCAGGATCGGTGCGTAGCAAGGGGTGGCACTTCATGCACCGATCCTGTGCCGCAGCCGGTCCACCTTCACCGACGCGGGCTGCTGTTCATGTTGACGCCCCCCCCGTGTTCGCCTTCAGCGGCGAGCTCCGAACGGCCGCTGTCTGCGTGCTACAACACATGTGTGCGGTGCAGTGTGGGCGTTTCAGTCAGTGCGGTGCAGTCAGTACACCCTGAGGTCTCACGTTAGGTCGGGCATGTCCCCCATACAGGCGGATTTGGGGAGAAGCACTACAAATACTAGAAAAATGCCTCGTCCTTGTGCTTCTCTTCTTCCTCGTTGTCCTCATGCTCCTCCTCGCTATCCTCACGTTCGCCACGTCGTCCTCGTCATCGACTCCTCGTTGTCCTCGCCGAGAAACACTAAAAATACAAACAAAAAACCCCGAATAATCAAAAATGCAAGAAAAAATCGTCCCCAGACGATTTCCTGACCATTCCTGAAGATTCCTCCTACAGAGGGACAGGCCCGACTTAGGTCTGGCGCCCCGGGAAACGCTGCAGCAGCGCGACAAGGCACGGCCGGAGCCCCGGACACCATCCTTCGGCGCCATTTTTTTCAAACAGGACCGATCCGCGAAATGATTCGGAACTATCTTCGAAATGATCAGAAAGTTAGATTTTTCGGAGAGTATTCAAACAACAATCTTCGACTCGAAATTACTCAAAATTGTCTTCGAAATATCTAGCAATTATTGGATTCTTCTGTGGCCCGAAGTTATCTTCGAAATTGTTCGAAGACGCCTGGCTCGAACAAAATGCGACACCAAGATCTCAGGGCACGCCTTGCCCCACTGCAACCTCTCGCCGGGCCTCCCTCGCAGGCTCACCGATCTGGACGCCCGAAACGGGTACAAAACAAAAATGGGTGCAGTGCCCAACAACACATGTTGTCGAAAACCGACGGCGGCCGCCGTTGGGCGGGCGGCTGTTTCACCTCAAAGGAAACGCCCGCGGCGGCGCGGACAGCGAGTCATGTTCAAAATGAAGAGGAACTGCTGTTGGGCATCGTACATCGGCGGTGGACAAATCTCCCTTTATTAGACCACCCTTTAGTGAACACGGCCCAGGACCGAAACCGACGGACCCGGACCCGCAAACATGACTGCCGCGGCGCCCTCATCGCGAACCGAAAACGCACAATTCGCTAATCGACGTGTCAAGGTAGGAGGTCTGTCCACCCCCGAAAATGGGGAAACCAAACGGTACTGATACCGCTACTCCACTGACCTCTCCTGGAGCGCGTTCTGACCAGAATTTCGAGGCGAACCCAGCCGTGGTGACGAGGGCCGCCCCGGAGGCCCAAAAAGGAGAGAACGGGCCAGAGGGCAGATGTATATGGGTGCCTTTTCCTCCTCGGAGAGTACCCATTCTTTCGGTACAGTCGGGGCGTTGACCTAAGGAACCTTAAATAAGGAACGAGGCCCCTTGATCCCAAAAGTTAAGCCTCGATTTCCCATCGAAAACCTCAGGAAAACCCAGGCCAAGCTGTAAAACAATCAAGGAACACCGAGCCCCTCCCCAACGAGAAGAGTTCCTTCTTCAGCGCCCCGACTGTACCCGCTCCGATCCTCCCGAACCGATCCCTGTGTTGTTTGTCGGTTTCGTGCGTGGTTTCTTCGCCAAATGATCAAGGAGGCTCCTCGATGGTCCTCCCCGAAGGGAAAATGCACACGTCCGAGCGAAGCCAGGGGCCGCAGGGCCGCGGGCGGGGCCGAGAGCAGCAGACCGCGCGCGGGGGGGCCTCCTGGCCAAGATGGCTGCGGGATCCACCCGTGGCGCGGCCCCGGTCGGGTGGCCTCCGCGTCGTGCTGTCGGCGAAACGAGCGAGGGGGGGGGGGCGAGGGAGAGGAAGAAGGCCTTGCCCCAGGAGGCGGCGGGGCTCCTCGGAAGGCTGGATGGCTCCTGAGAAGCCTGCTGGGGTTTCTCCGGGGGAGGCTCCGGACACTTCTGAGACGGCAGGGAGACTTGCGAGCCTTCCGAGGATCGGGTCGGACGAAAGGGGGGGATAGCAGAGGGGTGTTTGAGAATCAGCTCACGTAGCTGATTTCCCCGGCGCCTCCCGGCGCCGGGAGGCGCCCATGTATCGAGGCAGGGGCCCCTCGGTGGGGCCGAAACCAGCTGCACGCAGCAGATGTCGTACCCCCACCTTTCCCAAGCCCCCCCTTTCGTCCGGCCCGAACTTCTGCGACGGCAGGGAGACTCGCGAGCCTTCCGAGGAGACCGGCCC